GGAAGTTAGTAGAGTGTGTTTTTATTTTACTCAAGTACTCAGTCACCCAGTAGGAATAAGAAACAAAAATGAACCCATACAAATAATGTGCTAGAAAACATTATACCTGTTGATTCTTTTGTGTAATATGTAGAATTATGCGAACAGAGATATGGTCTGCTCTCACCATTATTACTGATGGTTCAATTTAAAATATACTGTTTGTTCAGGGGAAAAATAAATACCTATTCAGTAATGGGTATTTCCCACTATAGCTATAATTTCCCCTCAAAACTTTTTCCAGGTTTTCAGGATTTTTACAAGATAATGCTGTTTTATTTTAATGCTTCCTAGGTTTTCAGTCTATATTTTGTTTTTTGTTTTCCTTTAGTTAGAGATGGAAAATTAAGACTAAAAACTTGTTGCATTTTAAACAGTTTATCTAAAATATATAGCTTTAATACCATTAATATTCTGCAGACTTTGTGCTAAACTGCTTGAGGCTAACAGTTATAGAAGTATTCTACACTATTATTAGTTCATTCTCCAGTCATGTTACCTTTGACCGGATATTAAAATTGTAGATTAGTAATCTGTACTGACTTTTGAGTTACATATATGGAGGAAGGCAGTCTTTAACACACATACAGTTGACTGATACCACTGAGTAACAACATCTTGGTGTTACCACAGATGATTCTGTGAAAATACCATTTCAGTGCTCAACTGCATTTAAACAATGTATCTGCCTCAAGTATAGACTGTGCAGTTCTAGTCCCTTAATTTCAGACAGTATATATAAAACTGGAAGACTTGAAGAGGAGAGTAATGTGGATGATCAAATACATTAACTTGGGTATCTTTGAGAGTAAAGACTAAATAAATGAATATTTCTGTCTAGTAAGAGAACTGAGAAAGGGATGTGACCTCTGTGAGGTCTACAAAATCTTGAGTACCCTGGAGAACTTGAGTAGACTGTCATTCCACACTCTCTTCTAAAGAAGACATGTTTCAATACAAGATTCATACTGTTATCCTTTTGCAGAATTAAGTTTAAAGCTGAAGGCTTACATATTTGGAGCACTCAGTCATAATAGCATGGAATCTGCTTCAGTCTCGTTAGTCTGCTTGCAATAGTGGCAGCATTCATTTGGTGAACCATAGGTACTAAAAATAACTTAAATTATTTTTTTTTAAAGGCTATCCTGTTTGGTATGTCTGTTAAAATAGTTTTTAAACAGTTGCAGGAGAAAAAATTTAAATTGTGAAGATAAAGTAGCTACCAAAGTCCATTATTCAATGGAATCCATTCAAGGGTGTTCCTTCAAACAGGCAGACCAATGAATGATAATTAAATCCAAGACAAAAAGCTGCTGTTTCTCCCATTACTAGTGCAGTTTTGTAGGTCTGCAATGTAATAGGTGATTTTCCAGCTCCATTAGTAAAGAGAAGTCAGCCAGACTTCTGTAACTCTGCTACACTCACATGGCCTGAGTACCTCATTACAAAGGTTGTCACATGCTACAGAAAGATTAGGGAGGTACATTTCTTGCAAAGAAACTGGTTATATACTACTTGTAACCTAGGGAGGAGAGGTCATTTGCAGCCTAAAGGACTGTAAAACTTCTTAAGGAAAGAAGGAGCTGGAATCTGCCAGTGCTTACAAATAGGAAGTAATGGCACATGGCCTGTATTTGAGAGTTTAACTGTATCAATTTAGTGGAAACCCTGAATTTTGTGAGAGCAATAGTATATGCCCGTGTTACTGGTCATGAAAGACCATGAAATCCATTTTGTCACTTATAAAAGTCCATGTTTATTTTAGGTGACAAGTAACATTCTGTTTCTCAGAAATACATAATTTTAACTGTTTTACAGTTCTGAAAATTTGTTACTATTTTCAGTTACGGTGTTTGCAGAAGTTTTTCTGAGAAAAATAAGGTGTAACTGGTGTAACTTGATAATCTAATCTTTTACATATTGAATTATGTTTTGTGTGCTTGGTTGGTTGGTTTTTGCTTGTTTGGGTTTTTGTGTGGGTTTTTTTTGTTTGCTCAGTTGTTTGTTAATGCAGTTGTATGGCTGTTAGAGGGCTTGACAGTCCTGGAGGTCCCTTCCATCCCTCTCTTGGTTATGTAGACAACTCAATTGGATACAAGAGTCTGTGATGAGCAGTGTAGTTAGGGATGAGAACAGAGTGCACTGCTTGTTCACATCAGAGATTTGTAATTGTTTTCTGTGACTTCATGCCAGGAGGAAAAATCTGTTAGTCTTAACTGGATTTGAAATTGACTGTTGTTACCCTTTATCAGCTCAATACCTTTATGAGTTGCTTTGTTTGGCAGTTTTGGCTTATGAACACATAAGCAGTTCAGATATATGCAACGTTATTGTAATTTTTCTTCTTTCTCGATTTTTCAGGAAATCTCAGTTGAAACTGCAATATATATAAGTATCTCTACTTTCTTTTTTTTTTTAAAGTTCTCAAGAAATAATTTAAGCTCAAACACTGCCTCGTCTTAAAATTTGAGTATAGCAATTAAAAAACCCCACAGTCATAAACCTCGATTAGCTTTCTGTTTAAGTCACAAACTAATATTAATATATATACTCTCTAGTTAAGTCTCCAGGTAATGCTAAAGCCCAAGTAAGTGCATTATATCAACACTGGTAAGCAGTCATGGTATCAAATTATGTTTCTTTGTTATTCCTACTTGATTTCCATAATATTGTTAATAAGCTAATACATGAAACTTGCATTTGCATGCGAGAAAAGGCACACCTAATCAAAGTTTACACAACTTCAAATATGTCATCAATTAAATGCTTTCATTTTCAAGTGCTCAGAGACGTTTGAATGTAATAGAAAGTGAAAAAAACATCATCTATTGGTATTTTCTGAAAATTCTCAGAGATTATCTCTTTCAAATAATTATGAAAAAGCTAGTTTCAATAAGAATTTTTGCTATATGGGAAAAAATGAGAAGATTGTCTTAACATGCTTTATGGCCTGATGACATCTCTAATATGTCTATTGTTCCTTTTTGTGTGCTTTCTTTAAAATCAAGGGTTTTTTAAATGTCTCAACAAAAGTATTTTGTAAAATCATTAATTTTAAAAAGAAATTAAATAAAATTCTAAGTCAACTGGTATTTTGTGAGAGACTTGTATGTCCTTTTTTTTTTTTTAAATACATTTTGATAATGGTTTCTTTTAACCATAATAGTTCTTTTTACAGTCTAGTTATATAGCATGTTACACAAGGGTATTAAAACTCTTCTGATATAGTCTGCATAAAGTATGAATTATTAACTAGCAGTTAAAACATCTAGACACATCTTTCAAAAATAAAACTAACGGATAAAGATACACAAAATACAAATTTTGAACTTCTACAACTGAATGCTTTTCTAAATGACAGAGAGAAGCTTATATTTTTTATTAGTCTAATATTTCAGTTAAAAAAATAGCCACATAACAATATACACTATTGAGCTTGTCTTTTCTACTCAGTAAACAGAAAGCAGAAGAAAATTATTCTACTCACACCTGCTATCATTGCACTTCATTGTGTCATGTAAATATGTCTGTAGATTTGGGGAGGAGATTTATTTCATGGAATTATTTCTTCTTATTTATTCATGGACTTGCACGCAATACTAGAAAAATTATCTCTCCTAACAGACTGTGGGAAGTAGATTTGTTACAGTCTCAAAAATACCTGTTAGATTTAGTCTCACGTTATCCACTAGATTTATGATGGCAAGAGTACTGTTCTGAAGAACAAAAATTAGAAATGGAAATTTAATGTAACTTATTGTTTTTCATAGCTAGTTAAGCATTGAATCAGATGCTTTTCCCTTGAAATGGAAAAAAAAATGCTGAAATAACACGTTGTGGGTTTGTTGTTTTGTTGTTTCTTGTTTTGTTTTTTTGTGTTTTTTTTCCTATATCCCAGATATTCTCCCCTCCTTTACACAACTGAATGCACAAATCAAAATTTTTATTAAGCATTTTAGGACTCAGAATATTCAGATTATCTTTGAGATCTCTTGGTAGAGAGATCTCAGTTTGTCAGATGGTGATTGTTGGTTTTTGAAACGACCTGAGTTGTTGCAAATTTACAGAAAATTCTATTTAAAGTTGTTTAAATGTGAAAGCAACAGAATATAGATAAATATATTGATATAAATATCAGTATTCTCACATCTTAACTGAAAATGAACTTTTCATCCTAGAGGCTTTATAAAAGACCTTTTTGTAATGAAGGAGTATATCTAGAGGCTTGGAAGAATAAATGTGTACATCAAAGTACTACATTTTACAGAAAGGAAAACTTCTGTAGATTATGTTCTGCTGTTGTCCACATACCTAAAAATACTTACTATTTTGTACTTTTAAACATAGCATTCACATCATGCAGACATTTGCCTTCTATGTTGTTGTTTCTTGGATTGTGGAAGTATATTACTTTATTGAAAGTGCATGCAGATTAAAATACGATCTTTTATCAGTCTCCTCAGATATGTGTTTTATATTTTCTGTTTGGTATATGGTCAGTTAGTCTGGGAAACAGTCCATTAATAAGCATTTGTTTTATTCTGTATCCTGTAGACAGGTGGAAATTTTCTTTTGTTGGATGACATGCATGCTCTTTGAGAGAGAATTAACAAACTTGGAAAAAGCCTTCCAACACTGAGAATCATATTGATGAAATGTGAACTCTTGAGTGCAAATATTAGCTTATTCTGACAGATTTACAAATGAGAAAGTAATTTAAAATCTTGAAGGTATTCTATTTTACATTAGGATAGTGAAGTATGTTCAATAACTGTTCATGTTCACAGTGAAGAATTCACATAAAATTTTCATGGAGTTGAAGCTTACTCATCCATTTTAATATGAGATGTATTGTTGCAGGATGGCTTCTGTGATTTATGACATTTGTCAGTTTTTCAGAAAAAAGTATGCCTTTGTGTATATGTTCTCTTCAGCTTCACTTTTTTTATCCCTACATACAGAACCCGAAGGATTGCAGCAAAGCTAAAAAACTTGTGTGCAATATCAACAAAGGCTGTGGCTATGGTTGTCAACTTCATCATGTAGTCTACTGCTTCATGATCGCTTACGGCACTCAGCGAACACTCATTTTAGAGTCTCAGAATTGGCGCTATGCTACCGGTGGCTGGGAGACTGTATTTAGGCCTGTGAGCGAGACTTGTACTGACAGATCAGGTACCACCACTGGACACTGGTCAGGTAAGACTTAATAACTCGATTTCTCCTTGTTTTTTTGCAGCTTCATTCACATTGAACTATTTTGATACCTCTTTCTTTACTGTTATATGGAGCATAATAACTATGACAGCAGTTGAATACATAAGCATATATTAAATCTTATTTTTGCGTTATATTGAGAAAAATATTATCCTTATTAAGATAGCTCTACTTTGGCAGAGATTATTTAATACAAAATTTTTGTATTTCAGATTAAATTATAATCCTTCAGCAATCTGCCACTGTGTTACGTGCCAGATACGAATCCAGTTTTTATGAGAAGAGAGTAATAAATAGAGACTGTTGGTGGTAAACTTTAAAACAATAAAGCATGTTTCAAATATAAAGCAAAAGAAATACAAAGAAAATGGTATCCAGTAGTCATTCACACACCAACAAAATAATAAAATAATTGAAATGATTTTTAATGTAAACTGAACTGATTTGAAATGCAGGGTGAAATAACCAGTGGCAGTGTTAAATACCTTTTTACTTGTAGATCAGTAAGTTAATCCATTCTTATACTAGGCTAAACAATTTTGCTAGAATAACTAGATGGACATTCTTGTTTGAAGAATCAGATAGCTTTGTTTGTCTCAAAGAAACAGCATTCATTTTAATGGAATTCTTGCAGTCAACGTCTTGAGGAGTTATTAACATCTGCATGGTTTTATAGGTTTTTTCTGTGTATTTAAAACATTTTTCATGTATTTATCAAAATTGAGTAGGTATACAGCACAACTGGAGATGGCTGGCAATATGCTAACTTTTTGCTCTCAACTTGTGATAAGTACTAGGAAGAATTTTTTTACACTAAATTTCTGCACAGATATTTTTTATATGAAAAATTGTCAGCTTTTAAAACATAGATTTTTATTGACTCTTCCTCTTTAGTTAGGCATATTTATTTTTTCTAAGTCTGTAACTGGTGTTACAGTGGGAGTTTGTAAATGTTATAATAAACACAGGGAAGATGCAGTTGATGAAGAATACAACTGGCTGTTCATACCCAAGACTAGGTAAATGTCGTGAGATATCTTCATTGATAAAAGGAGATTCTTCAAAAAACATAATTAAACAATTGGGTTAGAGAGAGGTGGAACGTTAATTTTAATAACCTTTTGTATTATTGATAATTAGAGTTCACAATTGGATGAGGAGATAAACTAACAACAGGTAGAATGGACAAAAGCAATTTAGAGTGGGGAACAGTAAGGGAGATATTGTGCCACATTTCAGGCTATAGCTGTTTTATTTATCAGCACTGATGCAAATTTTGATTGTTAGCATGTGTCACATGAATATTATCTCAGAAAGGAATTTTGGCTCAGTAACTCTGCTTAAGGACAGATAAGTAGGACTGATATTTAATATTATTTATGTTAGTTCTGCCTACAGACTCAAAAATTTCTTTCCAGTATGTCCTGAAGGATGTATTTGGCAGCGACAGTTGCGACTTGGATTACATTGGATATTAAAAAAAATTTATAGGGATTTTCAATAGATGACTGTGTAGACTACACTCATTAGTAAAACAGTGCCCTGATGAGATGTTATTTTAGCATACAGTTTTCTCATTAGAACCACAAGTACTGTCCCAGTGCCATAGAGACAACATACAGGTTGTCTGTTTGGATAGCAAGCAGAGGTTTTCAGTTCTGGATTGACAGAAACTGTTTCCCCCACACACTGTCTCCATTCTTCCTCTTCCATTGGCTGTCTCCTAGTAACACAGGTTTTGGATGGTGCGTAAGGTTAGGTACAGGGAAGAATGGCCAAATCTCCAAGTCATCAGAGACTGTACCCTGTACCCTAAAGTCACAAGAAATATTCCCCTTCCCTCTTTTCTGACAGGTACAGGGTTACACTCTGTTTTAGGAGAGCTTTGAATTAGTCACTGGGCTTGGAAATTAACATCAATAATGAGAGGAAAAATGTTCCTTCCTTAACTTCATCTGCCTTTCTGTCTTTGAAATGGTGGAACATGTACCCAGTCCCATAGCTACTTCCAGAGAGGGAAGAATTGTCTATTCTGGCAAGTGTCTCAGGTTTCAGTGTCATTCCGTAATGATCATGCCTTTCATAGTTTCTTAAATTATTTAAGTCCTCAGGCCTTATATAGGCAGAACTGATACCTTTCAAGGATTTCTAGTTACATATAGTGGAAGTGTCTGTGTCTTCAACAATTGTACTATTTGGAATGATTGCTTTATAGTTATTTTACTTCCTACTGAGAATTCTTGGGGCTTGTGTTGTATGCTAGGTTTTGTTGGTTTTTTTGCGAGTGGTGTGTCGTTTTCTTTGTTTCATTTGTGTTCTCTTTTTTTCCAGAGAATCAGTAACATTTCTTATTCATGTTGGATCCAATAGTACTTGAAGATCTTTGTTATCTGGCTGATTAGCAGTTTAGTGAGGAAGTGTGCCCTGGATGATAAGTAGAGGAAGGAGAATTGCCTATGCATTGGACAATTCAGCCCAGGGCCTATTTGAGTCCAGTCATAACAAGAATTAAACTTCGCAGAAATTTCCTTGATCCAACACATTGTATATGTGTAAGTGTCAACCAGATGTCATAGTTTCCACTGTTGTCTCTGTGGAAAAGGTATTACGAATATTTTTCTACTGCAAAATATTCCTCAAATTAGATGTTTGTGGTATCTTAGAAGGTTCAGATACAATAATCTGAATTCAGAGGAAGGCAGAGCAGGGTAAAATGTTACAGGGAACTGTAGTTTAGGATAAAATGCAGAAACGGTACTTGCCTTTCCAAAGCAAGCACACATCTCTAGTTCAGTAAGCTAGTCATTTGTCTTCTCTGGATGGTAAAGAACATTTCCAAGTCCTTATTTTAGATACCACATAAAAAACAATGCTGATTAAAAGCAAAACCTTTTCATCGTGACTATAACCAAACGAGTTCCCTGGAGAGGGTGTGCAGCTTCCATTTTTGGAGGCTTTCAAGGCCGATCTGGCTGAAGCCCTGAGCAACCTGTTCTGCTCTAATGGCCGAGCCTGCTTTGAGCAGAAGTTTGGAGTAGATGTCCTCCTAACCTATAAACTGTGTGATCTGGGCAAACAAGTTCAGCTGTGGGAAGTGTTGATTATGGCTAATAATAACCTGGTCTTTTATCCTAATAAACTGGCACTGTCCAGAACCAGCTGCTTTAGAAGACGGTGAAAGTACAAGAACGGCAGGCAAGTAAGGGGTAAGCTGTGTCAAAGAGAAATTCCTACAAAGGGTCAATTCCTCCTATCTTGGTTGCACATATGAGTCCTCATACATGCAGGTGAATCACATTTTTCTCCATGTGGTTGATAGTGAGAACATAAAATCCTCCGTCTTCTCAACAGGACACTTCATACCCAGCGCATGTGGAATCTTAAGGAGTTTAACTCGTAAAGTCTTAGAGATCTCAGATTAACTTTTTCAGATTTACAAAATCGAATTTACAGATTGGTGTGTAAACGGAGTTGTGTGTTTATGCATTGAAATAACATTTGCACACTGAAATAACATCTGTTCTTCAAAGTTTCAGGATTCTACACAACTTTCATTTTAAAATTCTAGTGGGTTTTTTAAGTGCAAATTTTATCCAAAAATTAATTTTTAGAAACAGTTGAATGTTTTCTAAAACTAAATAGAAATGGAAAACTGACATTAAAAACTTCAGCTGAAGTTTTATTCGAGTTTGGCAAAATTAGCAAGTGAAACAACCATCTGGCAAGGTTCTGGGCATACTGCTCTATGTGACCCCAGAATTTAGTTGCAGGCAGTTTGTGAGCCTTGCTTTTAGCATAACAAGCTGTAAACCAGTGTTCTGGAGCACACATGGCCTAAAAAGACTATATATTTTAATGAAAATCTGTTAAAATAGGTCATGATTTTCTGCAATATGTGCTCTTGCTGATGAAAGTGCAAATATTTCCTTTAGGTCCTTACAGTTTTTATTTTTTAAATTAGTTTCTGGATCAGGTTGAATAGTTTGAAGGCTGAATGCATGACATACCTTGAGGTGATAAAAATTTTTAAAAATTAATGAATGCCACTAATTTGAGTTTTGATGTTCTAGAGGTAGAAGACATTCAACTATGAAAGACAATCTTTCTATGGTTAGTCTACTGACTAGCCATACACACTGCAAACTACATTAAATTCTAATCTTCTGCAATGGTGTGATCGCTGAAGAATGATACTGACAATCTTTTTTTCCTAGCTTCAGTATGGCTTGAATATCTTTGAAAGATATTCTATCTTGCTGAAGATTTCTGAGGTTTATGTCTTTCTAAATTTATAGAGATTTTGATTTTATTTTTTATTTTTCTTTAATTCCCTGTACCTTTACAAGGATGAATAAGTCTGAAATTCTTAACTGTAATAAAAGACAGTGTATTTGCAAAACCACTTTATTTTTTTTTTCTCCACAACTTTTGAAATCAGTGTGGGATTTTCTAGATTTTCAAAATAAATGTATAAAAATGCATTGACATTTATGAGTTTCCACTTCTGATAAACAAAATGTTTCTCCTATATCGTGTACATACTATGCTGTGTATATGGGTTTTTAATAAAAGTTATTTCATTATGTATCAAAAATATTCATACAAGTGAATACTTACAACAATATCAGTGTAAATTACAGAAATATGCCAAAAAGGCAGAAAATTATATCATCTTAAAGAATTACTCTCATGTAATTTGCAGACCTGCATAGATAATAATATAGTAAATTGTGTTTCATGACAAAATTGTTTAAATCTGTTCGTCTTCCTTATTTTCAATGAAATTTATTTTGCTTGACACTTTTAGTTGTATTGCCAACATGAAGTTTTGAAGCTTCTGAAGTCTTATCTTAGCAAAACAATTCAGATAGTAATCTCTTTTACAAAGAATTAAAAAACTTACATGAGCTGAGAATATATATATATATATATATATATATATATATATAAAAATATTATTGATCCAGTCCTCTCCTAACTAG